CCCCCCCAATCCTGGGACTTCTCTGTGCTTTCTTCCCTGTTCCCTCTAGTAGTGTCATCTGATCCCAGCACCATGACCCAGTACTGCCTCAGCAAGGGTAACCTGAACGGACTGTTGAGGGAAGAGAGCCAAGCTGAGATAGCTCCCTGAGAAAGGAGGCTTTGTGTCCACATGCTGCCCTGTCCCTCAGGCTTCTAACTGGCCTGAAGCACCACTCTTTCTGAGGGGAGAGCAGTGAGAATACTGGCTGTCACAGGTCCTCCTTACTTTCTCGGTCTTCTCTTGAAGGAGACACCTGTGGCCTCTTGTTACCAAGCAGGTGATTTGGGGTGGTTCTTGCCTCAGAACCAGAGAGTCCCCTTGACTCCAGTTGCATTGGCAAAAGAGAGGGGTCCCATTAATGACAGCGCTGAAAGGCTAGGGGGAGAAGGATGAGCCAGTGAGATGGGCTCTGGAGTCTGGCAAGAGCTGGGCCAGGAAGAGGGGAGACCCCCTAAAAATCTAGCAAGAGGCACCCTGAGCATGTCTGGAAGGGAGAGTTTGAGCCATGTGAGCAGGGCCTGGAGAAACCGCTTTCCCTCTTGTGTTTTCTGTCTCTGATGCTGCTTTGGATGCCAGATGTAGAGATGGATGTCAGAGTGCCTGATTGTTTCTTTTTCAGCATTCAAGCAGGTTAGGTATGAGAAGCAATCAAGCAGAAATGGGAGATTCAAAGTCGAAATGACAATGTCCTTAAGGCATTTCAGGCACCTCTTTGGGGACATTCTTTATCTTTCAGCTTGAATGAGTGGCTTCTCCAGTTTCCTGTGGTGACCTTTATAGCCTCTTATGGTCCACAGTCTCCATGTTGTCAGCGCCTTGTGTGGTTTAGCTGCTTCTCTAAAAACAGTCCTTGGCCAGGCATGGTGGCTCACACCTGTAACCCCAGCACTTTGGGTGGCTGAGGCAGGAGGATCACTTGAGCTCGGGAGTTTGAGACCAACCTGGACAACATAATTAGACTCTGTCTCCAACTTTTTTAAAAGGTTCTTTGTAGACTTCAGAGAAGAATCGAGTTTCCTATGAGAGCGTGTAAGCCAGGCACAGCTGACTTCCTTCATCCCCAGTTGTGGCTTTCCAAGTGAGTGTCCAGACTCAGATAGCTGATGCCGAGTACTCCAGATGGATGGGAGGGGTCTTTAGAAGCAGAGGGTCTGGCCTTTGTTTCCTCAAGCTGGAGGAAAAGTTTGAATAAAGAGAGGGCAGGCCTTCCTGTTGAAGGTCCAAGCTGCATTCTTCTTCTACCGTTTGTCTTTGGAACGAGTTAACTTCTGGTCTTCCCAAGGAGGGGAAGTGGCCAAGTTGTGTTTGATCCAGCTCTTTGGGAATGCTTAGACTTGGAAAGGACCTTGGTGCCTTGAAAGCTAGTACTGTTTGACCTTACCTGATGGAGCTCTTACTCCCAGTCCCAAGGATAGGCAGCTGGGGGGCTGAGTTCTTCATTTTCAGCCTCAAAAGCCACTTGTCCTTGATCTTGAGTTAAGGAGGAAGACTTCTGAGCCTCAACTTCTTGGAGACATGGCTCTGGGGCTAAGCTGGTTGTTGGCCCAAGCTCTGAAGGGACTTGTAGTTCTTGGACTCCTTCCAGAGTGAAAGCACTGTCTGGCTTGCTGACCTTGGGGTGGGGGCTTTTACTCTCAGGAAGGAAGTGCTCCAGAGGTCCATGGACTAAAAGGCATTGTGGTTTCTCAGGAGCTGGGAGGAAAACTTCTGTCCGAGTTGCCGTTAAAGTCAGGAGGCCAGGTGGCTCAGATGGCACGCCAGGTTCCTCCCCAGGACAGATGTCTGCCATGGTGCCCATTATCTTATTGCCTTCTGGATCTGTGATTTCCCACTGGCACAGCTCTGCCATCCTGCTCCCCATGCTGCTTGCTTCCTGGGGGCTGGCTTTTGGTTGGTCAGTGCCCAGTGCACCTGACTGGGGCAGGAGCCCCCCTGAGCCTGTGCCTTCCCTGGGGCACACTGCCTCCTGCTCTCTGCTGAGAGCTGCTGCTTCTGGAGAGCGCTCCTCAGTCCCTCTGGGACCTGCCTTGGGAAGGAGCATCTCTCCCTGCCTTGGGGCTTCTATGCCCACCTCCTGCTCTGGTCCCCCTTCTTCAGCCGCTCCTTCACTCACCTCCCAAGGGCAGATCTCTGCTTTCTTGGCAGAAGCTTCTTCCGCTTCCCACGGACACACCTCCGCTACCCTGGCCTCCACACCGCCTGCTGCCTCAGGACCGCCTTTGCTTCTGCCAGAAGCCTGTGGGGCTGTTTGTGGAGACAGACCCCTGCCATCTGGACTTTCCCAGGGACTCACAGCCTCCTGCTTCCTGAAGTCGGTCGTCTCTGGCTTTTTCTGAACTAGCACACCTTCAGGCTCTGGTTTCTTTTGGGCTCTGCCATTCTCTTCCTGAGATTCCCCTTTCTCATCCTGTCTTGACACCCCTTCAACAGGGATTCTTTCAGTCACCTCCCAGGGACAGATCTCTGCCTTGGCGCTGCTGTCAGGTTTATGTGCATCTGGGTCAGGAGTGTCCCATGGGCATATCTCAGCGGCCCTGTCCCCAGTGCTGCCCAGCCTCTGGGAGCTGACTTGAGGTTGGGCAGGGCACTGACGGTCAGGGTGGGAGAAGGATCCTGCTGGGGCCATGCTCTTCCATGGACAGATAGGTAGCTCCTGGCTTGTCCTTTCCCCATCGTCAGTGGCAAATTCTGCTTTCGAAGCTGGAGCTTGTTCTTGGGCCAAGTGTTCCGGGAGGGAGCCTGTCTTTGGGTCTTGTCTCAGGTCCCCCTTCTCTGTTGCTGCCGAGGAATGCCCCTCTGCCACCTTGCTCCTCATGCTGTTGGACAAGCCAGACCCCTCGGAGGCCTGAGCAGAGGATTCCCTCAAGTCCTGGTTCTCCCAAGGACAAATAGCTTCCTGTTCTCGATTCTGTTTTGCCATCCCTTTTGATATGTCTTCTCCCAGCGAGGTGAGTCTCCCTTTTTCTAGATTTTTCTCCCTCTGCCCTGCTGGGTCACTCCACATCTCTTGTTCTAGTCCCTTCCCAGTAGCCCCTTCGGTCACCTCCCAGGGACAGACCTTGGCTTTTTCACTGGTAGGAGCTTCCTGTACTTCCCAGGGACACACCTCAGGTGGCCTGCCTGCCACTTGGTCCAGTGCCTGGATTCCAGCTTTTGGTCTGTCAGTGTCCAGGGTGTCTGAATGCTGAGAGGAGGCCTCTGGAACCAAGCTCTCCCAGGGACAGGCCACCTCCCGCTCTGGCTTCTTGGGAGCAGCAGCAGCTGCTTCCCTGGGTCTGGAATCTGCAGATGTCGTCCCTGTGTCACCTGGAGATTTTCTCATGGCCTCGACTCCCAAAGCTCCTTCTTCCTCTGCTCTGGTGCCCACCTCCCATGGACAGATCTTTGCCTTCTCAGCAGCCAGGCTTTCCTCTACCTCCCATGGGCAGATCTCAGCAGCTTTGCTGCCCACACTGCCTGACATCAGGAATGTGGCTGGGGGTCTCTCTGCATCTTGAGGATCTGGGCGCTGGGGGGCACTGCCAGGGTCCATCCTGTCCCAGGGACAGATGGCTTCCATCTCTTGGATCTGCCCCTCAGACTCTTTCCAGGCGGTGCCATCTTTGCATCCTGATTTCCCAGGTGTCTTCTCCTTGTCCTTCTGAGGTTCTCCTCTGGGTGCCTGTGCTGATGTCCCGTTCTTTGTTGTGTCATCTACCTCCCAGGGACAGACTTCTGCTTTGGCGGGTGTGGCTTCCTCCTCTGGCCTGAGCTCTTCCCACGGACACACTTGTGTGGCTCTGCTATCTCTGTAGCTTAGGTGCTGACCACCAGCTTTGGGTGAGGAACTCTCTGGACATGGGCTGGAGTGCCCAAGGGCTGTGGTCTCCCAGGGACATGCCGGCTCCTGTGGACTTGCTTTCTGCATTGCCTTTACAGTTTGTTCCCCCATCTCTCCAGCGCTTCGTTTTCTGGAGGCCTCCTCCTCCCCTTGGAGAGAGTCCCCGCCTGTCCCCTGATACAGTGTCTCCTGCCGCATTATCTTATTTCCCAGCTCCCAGGGATAGATGTCCACTTTCCTGGTGGCAGGAGCACCTCCTGCCTCCTGTGGACACGCTTCCACAGTGCTGCTGCTCAGACTCCTTGACTGCTCGGGGCTTCCTGGGGCCTGAATGGAGATGGCTGAGGGGCCCCGGAAATCTGTGCTCTCCCATGGACAGAGAGATTCCAAGTCTCCGACCAGTTTCTGTTCTTTCCAGAAGGTTGCTTTCTTAGGGGTTTTCTGCTTTTCCTGGGGGGGCTCCCTCCCTGCCTCCTGGACCAGGTTCTCACCCTCTCCTCCTCGGCTTGCCTCCCAGGGACACAGCTCTGCCTTGGCCTTGTCAGGGGTATCAGCTTCTGGGCCGGTGGCTTCCCACCGAGGCTTGTCCACCCTCCTAACCTCCACATTGCCCACAGCCTCAGACCTGCCCTTGGTTCTCTCGGAGTCCTGAGGGGCTGACCCAGGGGACAGAGCTCCAGGATCAGCACTGTCCCAGGGACACACTGCTTCCTGCCCCCTGACCAGCCTATCTGGCTTTTTGCGTGCAATGGCAGTCACGTCTTTGGGCTCTGATTTTTCTAGGGCTTTCTTTCTCTCTTCCTGGGCGTCACCTAGATCTTGTCTTAATGGCCTCCTCTCAGGGGTTCCCTCACTCACCTCCCAGGGGCAGATTTCAGCCTTGTTGCTGCTGTCTGGCTGACATATTTCTGACTCAGCAACTTCCCAGGGACATACCTCTGCCACCCTGTGGTCAGCACTGCCCAGGGGCTGGAGGCTGGCTTTGGACAGTTCCCGCCACCCGACAGGCGCCTCTCTGGCTTGTTCAGCATTTTTGTCCCTGGAAACTTGCCTCGGTGTGGCAGACCCCGTTTTCCCAGCTCTCTCAACTTTCCGCTCCCCTGGGCCCTGGGACGGCCTTCTGCCTCTGTCTTCTTGTTCCTTGCTGCCCTCCTGTTGACGGACTTGGAGCATTCTGCTGGTGTGAACGTTCTGTTGGTTCTGGAGGGACTCCTCATCGTCACAGGGGGCCAGAGCAGCCTGCTTACTCACCGCCTTGGGCCGGCCCTGCCTGGGAGATCTGGAGGACGCCCCCACACTTGGTCCCGCAGCCTTGCCCTTCCCCCCCTCAGGACTCTCCTCCCCACCCTCCTTCTCTCTGTGTGTGCTCCGAGAACGGGTCAGAGCTTTGATGGCCAGTCCCAGGCTGCGGATGGAGCCCTCCTGAACAGGGGCCTTGAGGCTATGGGATTTGGGGAAGAACTTGGGCCGGTCCTCATCCCCCCCATTAGCTTCCCTCTGGAGATGCCCGTCCTCTGTGTCCATGTGAGTCTCGCCCGGCCCCTTTTTGTCTACTGCAACAGAGAGGGCCCTCCAGAGCCTGGCTCTCGCTGGGGCAGGGGAGAGGGTGCCTGAGGGTGCTTCCTGGGCCACATTTTCTTTCTTGACTGGCAGTTCTGCATTCTCCCAGGGGCAGATGAAGGTGAGTAAGCTAGGGCTTTGCGGGGACACTGGAATGGGTGCCAGGGCAGGGGCAGGGCTTGGGGCTAGAGCTGGCATCAGAGCTGGGGCCAAGGTGGAGGTGGGAGACAGCATCCTCGGCTCCCCCAGGCAGGCTCCAGAGAGGGCCAGGATGGGCGTGGAGACCTGGTGCCGGATGGGTGGATGGGCCAGCCTTCTTCCGGCCTCCTCCTGAAGATTTCCAGAGGCATAAGAGCTGTCCACGCTGCTGCTCTTGGCAGGGGAAGGCGGGGCCGACAGCGGGGCCCCTTGACGCTCCGTCCTCCTGGCCGATGACCTCCGCACCGGGCTCGCCATGGCCACCTCGGCCTTCTTTCGCTCCTCCCGCTCCTTGGCCTGCCGATAGGTCTCCTCCAGGTAGGCCTGACTGGCCACAAGCAGGGCCTTCTCCCTGGAGCCAGCCACACTGAGGGACTTTGGCAGGGAGGCGGGCCGGGCTCTGGGGAGCCTCTCCACCACAGTCAGGTTGTGGGCGCTGGCTGACCTGAAGCCCAGGGCAGGAGGGCCCTCCACTGACTCCCGGCTCTCCCCGCGAGAGACCCTCTTGGCCAACTTCCTCCTCAGCAGCGAGTCGAGCAGAGGCGGCTCCTGCTCCCTGCGCGGGTTGTAAGTGCTGCGGGACTTGCGCAGAGTGGGTGTTCCCTCGGGTTCCTGGAAGCTGGAGCTGAGGAGCCGGCGGCGGGAGGAGCCGGGCAGGCTGCTGCGACTTGTGGAGCCCGAGTCCCTAGAGTGCTGCCGGGCTAGCGCCTCGGGGAACTCGGCCAGGTACCTCATGAAGGAGCGGCCCAGCCCCTGGCGGGAGCTGTGCCGCTTCTTGGGCAGGTGGGGGTTGTTAGCGGCCATTTCCTTGGTCTTGTGGACCTCCAGCTGGGCATAGAGCTTCTTCAGCTCGTCCTGGAAGAAGGGCGAGAGCAGAGCTGCCACTGGGCCTCCCCATTCCTGGCTGTACCGTCTTCTCCCTGGTCCCTTATTAAGACCATTTTCTCTGGGAGATCTCTTTCCATCAACCTGTGTCCCTTCCCTACTCCTAAAATTCGCAGAATTCTCCTCTTTGTTCCTGCAAAACCAATGCCAGCCTGATCTGAGCAGGTCAGCTCAACTTAGAGGACTCTGCACGCCCTTCTCTGGGCACTGTGGCCTGGTGAGAAGTCACTGGCTTGGGGGACATAACATTTGCATTTGAGACTGCTGACCCACTGTGTGCCTCAAGGCTATTTCCGACCCCTCTGAGCCTCTGCATACCTAGTTGACTAGTATTCGCTTTCCGTAAGAGGACTGCATGAGAGCGATGACTAGTGGAGGTGAAATGTGCTGTATTTGGGTGTAAATGATGGGATGGGGTTTCGAAAGTCTTCGATGTTCTGGATTTCTTCCTAGAGCCAGCACATGGTGGGAGGGAGGGGCGAGTTGGGATTTCTGGAGGGCAGAGCGCATGTGTGCTCCCCAGCCATCAGTTGCAGTGGGGGCTCAGCTCTGCCCTTCCAGGAGGCAGAGCAGGCAGAGCTCAGAGGGTGAGGCGAACACAGGGGCAAACAGGCAGAGGCAGTTGGGACAAGGAAGAAATGGGGAGATGGGAGGGCTCTCCTTTGCAAGGCTATGAACAAGCCAGGTGTGGCGGCCTTGGTGGAGGGGATGGGCAAAGTGGCTTCCCAAGATGGTCCTGTTTTTTGGCTTTTATAAAACAATGGTCTTAGACCACCACTCCTCATTCCCTACCCACTGAGCCTCTCATTAGGGTTCCATGACTGTGATACACCTGAGCAGAAAAATGAGAATAAGCATGCTGTTCCAACGTAAGACACAGGAAGGACTCTTTCTCTAAGACCCACCTGGTCCAGGGAAAGGGGAGGTCTGGATGTGGAAATCCTGGTGGCCACTCACTGCCTGAACTACCCAACCCCACAGCTGGCCCTGGGGTCACCACCCATCCTACTTTCATGGAGATCGAGGGCTTTTAGTCTGCCCCCCCAAGACACCCCCACTGAGAGAATGTGAAGGACACCAGGGAGGCTCCGTTTGGCTCTGTTCGGAGCTTGCCGTATGGCCTGGGCCTCCAAGGTTGGTGTCCTGGGGCCTGGGGTCTTCCCACTTGGGTGGAGTGTGGCCTCCTTTGAATAGAGTCAGGGGAGTCCCTTTAGGTCAATGTCAGAGAAGGGAGGTAGGCCTGAAAGGCCAGGGGAAGGGAAGGGGACCTGCCGTACACACAGTGCAGGTGGCAGGGCAGCGGGCCTCCCTCTGTCCAGACCCTAGAGCGTGGAGCTTCAGGAGGAGGCAGGGAAGGCAGCACATACCCGAATGTCCCCGGGGTCCAGACTGCGCTCGCTCCAGGCTGAGGCGATGCTGCTGCCGAGGTAGGAGCCCGAGCGCTGCAAGTCCATCTCATCCTCGTACACCTCATCCACCATCTCCTCCCGAGGGGGAGCCCCCAGTTTCCAGAGCTGGCCGGGATGCGTGAGTGGAAAAAGACTCACCTGGCACCCTGCTCATGCTACCCTCACCTCTCCTGCCCCAGGGAATGTGGCTTTCCTTTGGGAATCATCACCCCCTTCTCTCATGGGGATTCCAGTGGTCTGTAGAGTGTTACTGTCCTCCTTCTCCCTGATCACCTCTAGCTTAGAGAGCAGGGTGGTCTCAGCACCTGCCCCTGCAGTTCCTGGCTGTGTCCTGCCCCCGACTCATGTCTCTGGAACTGCTTCTAAGCAGATCATCAGAGCTCACGGCCTTCCCGCTGCAAGATGGACCCCCTCAAGCCCTGGCTCTTACTCCCATGCCCAGGTACTGGAAGCAGAAAGGTAGTAGCTCCCTTTCCCCACCCCCCCACCCAAGTGGGCTCTTTGCTTAGGACCCCTGACACTCAGCTCACTCATCCCAGCACCTCCTGTCACCCTCATGCTGGCCTGGAACAGGCACCTTGGCACAGCAGGTCCACAGAGACCCTTACAAAGGGGCTGGGTCATAGGCCAGGTGTGGTGGCTCACACCTGTAATCCCAGCACTTTGGGAGGCAGAGACAAGAGGATTGCCTGAGCCCAGGGGTTCGACACCAGCCTGGGCAAGTTGGCGAGAACTCATCCCGACAATAAGTCAAAAAATTAGCTGGGCGAGATGGTGCATGCCTGTGGTTCCAGCTACTTGGAAAGCTGAGGCAGAAGGATCGCCTGAACACAGCAGGTCAAGGCTGCGGTGGCCATGAGAGTGCCACTGTACTCTAGTCACAGAGTGAGACTTTGACTCAAAAAAAAAAGTTAAAAAAAATAAAATAAAATAAAAAATAAATAAATAAAGGGACTGAACCTGCCTCACAGGCAGGTGGGAGAAGGCCTCACCTTGGGAATGAAGAGCAGAACCAGAGTGGCAGTGACTGTGCTGTGGGTGTGGAAAAAGAAGAGGAGGAGGGTCCAGTCCGGGTGCAGGGAGGGAACCAGCACAAACCTGGGGGCAGGGTGGAGGGAAATGTCAATGCTGGTAGGAGAGGCCTCTTTTGCCTCACCCTCCTTCTGGCTCTTGGCCCCAGCACCATGAGCGTGGGGGGGGGGGTATTCCGCCCATCCTCTCCAGCATGTAGGTCCTACCTCAAGGCTCATGTCAATCCCCACCTCCAAGAAGCCTTCCCGGGCTACTCCAGCTCATCTCTGGCAGTTTAGAGCACAGACTTGTGCTCCATGAGGCTGCTAGGACCACCCTGTGTGTTGATTCTGCCTTCACCACAGGCCACTGGTCCTTTGGCCACACACACAGCGGGCCTACTGCTCTTGCAGCTAAGGAGTGAGGGGAGGGAAGGCAGGGGGAGCCAAGCACGAGTGAGAAGGGGGTGCAGGGTGCTGGGTGCTGGAGAGGTGGCTGGGAGTGGGAGAGGAGTTAGGGTGTGCTTCCTCTTCTTGTGTGTTGGGGCCTGGGTGAGACATGGGGTGGGGGGGGATCTGTGGGCAGGGAGGGAGCTAGAGGTGGGGCCTTTCTCACCTTGCCCAGGCACAGCAGGGTTGCAAAGATGGCCATGGGCGGGGCACCCTCACTGGGGAAGGGTGAGGAGACGGTGGAGTGGGAGGAGTCATGGGAAGGCAGTTCGTCCTCACCTGGCCGTGTGGAAGGCCGCAGAGAGCAGCAGCTCGTTGTGCAGAGCGATGCCCATGTAGCGCGGCTCGTGGAAAGCCGAGAGGACAGCCCGGGTGGCATAGCAGAGGAAGCTGCCCCAGCACAGGAGCAGCATCTCGGCTGTGGGGAGGCGGGGAGGGAGAGTGGCCACGCCTCAGCAGGGGAGCCTGGGCCGGGCTCTGGGGGCCAGGCAGGAGAACAGGACGAGAGGACCCGGGAGGGGCCGATCAGGGACCTGGGTGCGGCGGGCTCAGTGGAAGCAGCTCACCCACAACCATGATGTAGTCCCAGCGATCGTGGTGACAGAGGTAGAAGTGGCGGCCGGTGGGAGTGTGGCCTCGGATCACCAGAGGTGCGTGCTGGGCGCCTCGCTCCAGGACGCCCACTGTCCACACGGCCAGGAAGCCCAGCACGGGCAGCAGGAGCAGCCCCAGGCGCCGCAGCAGCCTCCCACTGCTCAGAAGGGTGCCCCGCTGGGCCGTCCGAGACAAGAACAGCTGCAACACCCTGTGAGGGTGAGGATGCGTGAGGGACTGGGGGAAGCTGCTGCCCTCCCCTCCAGGCCTTCTCATGGTTTGCTGCCTCCTCTTATCCCCAAAAATGCTACATGGAGGGGAGGCTGTGATGATGGGGGCAGGCTGTGGGGCACAGGGGAGTGGAACTGGCCAGGGCTGGCTTTGAGAAGCTTGGGTCCCTGAGCGAGCTGCGGTGGCAGGGGCAGGAGCTGGCAGGGGCGGAGCGTGCTAGCAGGGCCTACCCAGCGCTACCTGTAGAGCTTGAGCGTGATGGTGCCGTAGACTATGGCAAAGCCCAGCAGCCGCACCCAGCGCAGGGCGATGCAGCGGAACACGCTGGGCTTGAAGTACAGGATAAAGACCTGCAGGAAGGGTGAAACCCTGCTCTCCCCCGCGCCCCAGCTGCGTGCCAGGCCTATGAGCAGCACATCGCTTGTCTCCTGCAGCCCGCAGGGGAGGTGTCATCACCTCATTCTGCAGAGGAGCAGCTTCAGTGTCAGAGGGGTTAGGCAGCTGGTCCTAAGTCACACTATGGGTCAGAGAGCCCTTGGAAGCCTGGGACTTTTTGGCTCTGGAGCTCATAGACCAGCCCACCATTTGTGGGTGTGAGTAGGGGGAGCGTGAGGTTTCTGAATTCCCCCGAGAGGGCAGAGAAGAGGGCAGGTTCTGGGCTTTCGAGGGTGCCAGTTGGGGATGTGGGGATCCTGGGAGGTGAGGCCAGCCTCTGGCCACAGACTCACAGGGAAGTAGAGCAACAGGAATCCAAAAAGGACAGTTTCCAGCAGGATGACTCCAGACGCCCAGATCCTCTGTGAACCAGGAGAGAGGTATGTGAGCGGGGAAGAGCCTGGACTACGGTGCCCCAGGTGCTCAGGCCTGTTTGAGGGATCACTCGGTGGCCTTGGGCTGAGGCTTCACCCTGTGACACTAGCTCCGCCCTCCTTGTCCACGGCTACATCCCCATCCCACCTTGGGCTCAGCTCCACTGGCCCCTATCCTGGGTAAGGCTAGGGTTTCACAGAGTTCCTACCCCCTCCACTCCAGCCGTAGGCCCCACCTGAGCCCACCAGGTCCTTGCTGCAGACCTAGGCTCAAGGGAGAGGTTGCTGGCACTAGAAGGGATGTCATGCAGTCCTCTAGGCTTGGGCCAGGCAGCTCCCTTGTCGAGAACAGGATGCTCCTTCTCAGTCCAAGAAACACCCAGTTGGCCTTCAAACCCAGCTCACATGGCACATTCTCCAGCAAGTCTTTCTGATGCCATCCCCGGCAGCATGACCGGCTTCCTTCTTTGAGCTCCCGCAGTGACTGCAGATACCTCCACCCTCATCCCTGTCTCACTGTGCTGTCATTCTATTTACATGTCTGCTTCCTCCATTAAGCTGGGAGCCCTGTGAGGGTCCAGACCTCTTGCTCTGGTACCCAGGCAGTGTTTTGCTTTGAGTGGATACTCAACTAACACTTGCCGAGTCAAGTCCAATGTCTTCACCTGACAGATGAGGAAATCAGCCTAAGATGGAGAAGCCGCCCACCTGACATCACATAGGGAGTTAGATTGAGAAGACTGGAACCCATTTCCCCCAAGTTCTGGTCTTGGGTTATCTTGGTGACGGGGCAGACACGTGTGCAGGAAAGTGGTGGGGGGTCTTCCTTGCCTTGCTCCGGCGGCAGCGGTAGGAAACCAGCATGCTCAGGAAGATGGCCAGCATGCAGCAGGCCTGGCAGGCCAACACGGCTGCCCGCAGCGCCAGGGCCTCTTCTGCCAGGCATGGTGTGGCATCTCTGCAGCTGGTGCAGCCCTCAGAACATGGCTGGCACTGCAGCAGCTGCCCAGAGCTGTCTTGTGGGGACCCGACTTGCCCAGGACTCTGAGTGACACTCTCCTCTAACCCTGCAAGGAACAAGATAGGTGCAGGGGGAGGGGGATGCCCAGGGTGCCCTGAAATCCTAGCCTCTCTCCCTGCCCTCCTGTGGTCTGTGGGCCCAGGGATAAGAGCGTGTGGGCACTGCCTGGGGAGGGCAGGCTAACAGGAGGAAGTGGAGCCGGGCTAGAGCTCCCCAGGAGGTCAACTTGCATCACATCTACATGTTATGGGCTGTTTCTCAGAAGGCACAGACACCTCCAAACACCCCAGCTCCACCTCCAACTTCTCTCAACCTTTTGCCCTTGCGCCACAAGTTTTCTCCCACCTGACTAACCTGGTCCTCACCATGTGTACATACCCTCGGAGCGACTTGTCCCATAGAATCCAGGTTGGCAGCGGCAGAGGTAGCGGCCGAGAACAAAGCCCTGATTCTCCAGGGGGACACACTGTGGGGATGAGAACGTGGTGTTTGTTTCCATGGGCCTTTCTCTGGAAGCACTTTTCCGCCTGGTAAGAGGTGGAGGGTTCATCTCCCTCCCTTCCATGGCGCCTGGGTTCATACTAGGGAATCCCTCTGGAAGTCCTTCCTAATGCCTGCAAACCCTTCCCTCTGGGGAAACGCTATCCTCCTCCCTGCGGTTGCCTCTTCCCAAAGAGACCCCACGCAATGAGTACAGGGAAGATCACCCTTTTGTGCAGACTGGAAGTGCCAGGAGACTCATAGGTCCCATTTCCCAGTCCCAGCTGTTGCTTGGGTGAGGTACTGGGGGAGGTGGAAGCAGAGAGAGCTCTGGGCTGAGCCAAACCTTAAGAACCTGCATCCTGCTTCAAAGGGTCCCCATCACAGGTGAGTTGAAAAGTTCCCCATGGGGGAGCAGCTTCCTTTATCAAGGCCCATCTGGCTTTGGCACATGACTGCCATCCCCAGCCCTAATGCCAGGCTAATGCCAGGCTGGTGGGATGCCAGGACCAGCCCTTTATTCCACCTCCGCGCATTGATGTTAGCCTGGCAGGGGACAGAGCAGACCTCAGAGCCAGGCAGGGAAGATGAGCACATGGGTGAGGTCAGATCCGTAGAGATAACTGGGAGCAAATGTAGAGGGGCAAAGGACAGGGCTGACCTTGGGGGATTCTGTGTCCAGCCCCGTCCTCCCCTCAAAGGGTTAGAGTGCAGTGCTTATGAAATTGAGGCCCAGCTTCCCCTCTGCCTGAACCACAAGACACTGGACCACTCAGTCTGCACAGTTAGACAAACGTGTACCCAGAGAAGTGAATGTGGCAGGATAAAAAGTGAACTGGACAGCGGGTGCCCTTTTCCCTCCCTCGACCTATAGCTGCAAACACGTGTGCCCTGAAGAGCAGGAGGACCACCTACACACATGGAGTGGTGTGCCCACCAGTCCCCACAGGCTGCAGGGTAAGCCTTGGCTTCCGTTCAGCCCAGAGCATGCATGCAGTCAGTGTAGCAATGGAGTTTCCAGGATGAGCTCACAGCCACCCACCAGTATGCTCCAGCATTGGGGTCACCTGAACCCATGGCTTTGATTCTGCCTGCAACTGGCCTGTGTCCCATCACTGTCACCAAGCCAGACCTCTTCAAGTTCCTTCTTTGGTTAGACTTCCCACGCCCCAGCCAGCAAGTTCATTTAAACAAACACCAATAACACCCAGAGCTGTGTGGCCCAGGGGAGAAGTGAGGGAAGTGGTTAATGGAGGCTCGGGAAGTGGCCTGGAGGGGTCCTGGAGCACAGCACCAGAAAGGAAAGCAGCTCCAGGCACATGGAGACTTCAAAGGAGTGAGGGGTAGCCATCTTGGGTGGGTGGATGGGGTTTGCTGTAAGTGGCCTCACTTTGAAAAAACCTGGTGTCTCACCTCTGCCAACCACTAAGGACTCCACTGAAGCCCCTAGACACTGGGGTGGCTTTGTCAGCTGCTCCTGGGAGTTAGGTAGTGGCAGTGGTGGGAAAGGAGGAGGAAGGCAGGACCTAACAGCTCCGTCCTCCTCATTCTTACCTGGGTGCTGTTGAGATCACACAGGTGTGTGTTCGAGTACCAGCCCGGGCCGCTTGCACATTGGTTGATGTCCACACTCTGGAGATCCACGTCCATCTGCACCTGTCCCCTAGGGCAATGAATTGGCAGTCAGGGGCACAATGATGGATGCCAAGGTGGACCCGTGTCCCCGAGCATGTCAGTGCTCTGAAAACAACACCCCAGGTTATGGCACTTGGCATGCTGAGTACTTTATGAATTGAAGGAGATTGAAAGGCCTGAGGCAAGTTTTATCTGCCAGTCTGCTGCCCCTCTGTCTCTCCTGAAGCACCATAGAAACCAGAATGCCTCTTCCCCAAGGCATAGAATCTAGAATCCTCCCCCAGAGAAAGACATAAAACCTAGCTGGGACCTGGCCTGGTGTCCTGTAATCCTAGCATTTTGGGAGGCAGAAGCAAGAGAATTGCCTGAGCCCACGGGTTAAAGACCAGCCTGGCAACTGGCAAGGCCTTGTCTCTACAGTAAATTAAAAAATTAGCTGGGCTTGGTGGCACATGCCTGTTGTTCCAACTACTTGGAAGGCTGAGGCAGAAGGACCACCTGAGTCAGGCTGCGGTGGCTGTGAGCATGCCACTGCATTCCAGCCTGGGCAACAGAGTGAGACTCTGACTCAAACAACAACTACTACAAAAAAAAACCACCTAGCTGAGTGCAGTAGCTCACAATCTCATGACTCTCAATCCCAGTACTTTAGGAGGCCAAGGTGGGAGGATTCCATGAAGTCAGGAGTTTGAGATCAGCCTGAGCAACATAGCGAGATCCCATCTCTGCAAAAAAAAAAAATTAAAAAGCCAGATGTGGTGGTGTGTGCCTGTGGTCCCAGCTACTTGGGAGGCTGAGGTAGGAGGATCACCTGAACCCAGGAGTTAGAGGCTGTGGTGAGCCTCCAACTCGAAAATAAATACTTTGCTATGCTTCTCCTGTTAGCCTGCCTTGTTATAGGAGTGACCCTCATGGTGGGTGAGGAGAGGGACCACAACCTTCCCTCCCCTGCGGGCCTAGACCATGGGACCATCTTTGCAAACTTTAGCACTGTGGCTAGAGGGACCCCACTTCTTCTGAGGCAAAGAACTCTGACTGTCTCTGTGGGTAACAACCCCCCTCACTAGGTCATTTTTCCCCACTTCTCAGCATTTCAACATCCTGTCATTTCCTGATTTCTATTAGTGTGTTGAGAGAGGACACATGACAAGACTTGTAGGAGCCAGGGCTCTGATAGTGTGTACGTGCATTGGGAAGGGGGTTTTCATGCCTTCCCAATGCACATACATATAACTCAGCTGTTAACTACCCCACTCTGCCGGAGTCAGGTCTGAAAGGACCACAGCAAAGGAGCCTTGAAATGGAGGAGCCAGGCCGGGCTCGGTGGCTCAGCAGCTCAGCCTGTAATCCCAGCACTTTGGGAGGCCGAGGTGAGTGGATTGCCTGAGCCCGCAGGTTCGAGACCTGCTGGGCAACTTGACGAGACCTCATCTCTACAATAAATCAAAAATCAGCCGAGCGTGGTAGCGCACACCTGTGCTTCCAGTACTTGGAAGGCTGAGGTGGAAGGATCGCTAGAGCCCAGCAGGTTGAGGCTGTGGTGGCCGGGAGCGGCCACTGCACTCCAGTCTGGGTGACAGAGTGAGACTCCAACTCAAAAAAAAAAAAAAGAAGAGGAACCCTGAGCTCCTGGCCCTGCCTTGGGCTGAGAGTTGGCAAGGACCCAGGCTGCCTGCTAGTGGCAAGGAGCCCTTTTGGGAACAGTGAATGGACTCCACTGGAGAAGGTGTGGCCTGGAACGCCTTGCAGTCCTGTGCTCAGTCACTGCCCCCACCCACAAGAGGGCTCCTGATGCCCCGTTACTCTGGAAAACCCCAGTTGCTGGAGGAGGACCACAACCTCCTGGGTCAGGACAGGCAGCACAGTGGGGCCTGCTTGATGCCTAAATATATGGGGACCCAGTCAGCTCCTGGGCAGGAAGGGCATGGATTCCAGACCCCCAATAACTCCCTGAGACGCCTTCTTTCACAGCTCGCAATCGCTGGAGAGCAGCTGGCTGAACTCATGGAGGGCCTGTCTGGTTCTGCTCCGTGTAGCCTGGTGCTTAGATTGTCACGCTGTCATCCACGACAAGCTCTCTCCTGCCTCTTACACTCCTCAAACTGGGGGTTGGGGGAGGAACAAGACCTTTTGCCTGTCTATGCAGACACACATGTGTGTGTATATTTCATATAGACGCAGCTCCATGTCACCTGTTCGTATATGCACATGCTCGTAGACATCTTTCACATACTCAAGCACAGAAATACAGATACTCAGATCGATGTGTGTGAGTGGTCTGATCCTACACAGCATGGACTCACTTGTATGTGGGAACAGATAGCCACACATCCCCAGAGCTGACTGCAAAGACACGCAGCTGAATGCAGATACACATCAGCGCCCCCCAGACATGCACATGTTCATGCCAAATGCCCCACGTGCAGCTGGGTGGACCTGTGCCCCCTCCCCTACACACCCACAAATGCACCAAATCCTGCACAAACCCACTTACCTGACCTCTGGGCTGAGGTCTGGCTTGAGTCCGTAGAAGGTGGCAGAGAGGGAGATCAGCCAGCCAGGTCGGAGCCGGCCCTCCTGGCATTCCAGGAAGGGAGGAGACAGCCTCACCTGCTGCACATCCCCCACATATCCATCTGCCCGGGGCCACTTGGGGCTGCCGAGGCTCCCTAGATCATTGGTCAACACCCGCTTCTTCAGGGCAGGGGTGTCCAGGTCCCCGACAGGGCTCTCTTCGTGTACCTGGTTCCCAGACAAGTCCTGAAGGATGGTCTCCTCCCCGATCCGGGTGGCCTGCAGGGCCAGCTGTAGGTGGCTGGCCCCTGGTGGAGGGTCAAAGGTCAGCAAAGCCCTGTACACCCTTGGGTCCCCCTCAGCCACACTGCGAACCAGTGCCTGGTACCACTCCACATCCTCTTCCACGCTGGACTCGCGGATGTCGTTGGCTTGCAGCAGCATGTTGAGAAAGTTGGCAGCCTGGGCCAAGGTGCCTGCTGCCCCCTGTAGGAATGGCGGTAGTCCCGATCTGGCTTCTGCCCCGTGCACTTCGTAGCGCTCACTGCAGTTAGCTCCCAACAGCTGTTGGGCATCTCCAGAGTAGAGAAAAGCCAGGGCTGGCTCGGCCCCCTCTGGGGGCACCCACGTGGGCACAGATCCTGGCTTGACTCGGGAGGACAGCGGGGGCAGAGAGCGGAGAGGCTGCGGGTTCCCCAGAGCCCAGCCGCAGACGAAACAGCAGCCCAGCAGCCTCCACACAAGAGGGGGCACAAGCACCACCCTGGTGCCCATCCTCAGGGCAGTGCTCAGGACCCTGGGGTCCAGGCTACCTGAGGGCCTTGGTGGCTTAGGAGAGCCCAGAGGAGATGACTGCAGCCTGGGGTTCCCTGCCTCCACACCTCCTGTGCTGGTGTTCGCTTTCTCTTCTCTCTCACGGTGGTGCTAGTTCGCCGGTTTTTCTCATCTGATATCATCAGCTGGCTTCTGGACGTAAGTATGAGGGCCCCGCCCCCTCCTCTCTCACTGTGGCCCCCATCAAACCCTCTTAATCCCAGCACCTCACTCTTTTCTCCCCTCCTATCCAGTATCCAGACTCCCTCCACCCCCACCTCACAGCCCACATCTGCTCCAGAGAGAGGGGAGGAGAGGGGCAGGCACCAGTTGTGTGCTGTCTACCTCCCTCCCCTCCCTGCCCTTTGCTCCATTAGGAGAGATGGGTAAATCCAGGATGGGGTGCCATAGCAACGGCAGATGAGCCCGTACCCCTCTCTCCACCCCTCTCCTCCACTCAGCAGTTGCAACAGGCATGACAAAGGGCCAAGCTATACCCTTGGCAGTCTGCTCTGGCTGCCTTCACCCCCTGACACCACGCTGCTGAGCTGGAATTTGAGATTGGGGATGGCGAGGGTAGAAAAGAGCCTAATATAACTGTAATCGGTCATTGTACAGCCTGTGGCAGTTTATAAAATGCTTTTCATGAGCCTTATCTCAGTGATTCTTCCCCACAACCATGGATGATGAATGTTCTTATCCCCATTTCCCAGATATAGACACTGAGGCTCAGAGACTCACCCACGATCATGTAACTGCTCACTTGGAGATTCCAACCCAGAGCTGACTCCCCTGCACTGTCCAGTCAACCACCACCAGTACCCTGTTACTCAACCTCAGGGACTATAATAAGGCCTCATTACACAGGGGTAAATCGAAGCCCAGAGAAGTGAAGAGACTTCCTAGAACCACATGTTGTTTGTGGCAAAGCTGGAGACTCCACCTGGGCATTGCCACTCCCCACCCCCACCCCTACCCCCGGCTTCTTCCTCCTGCATCAGAGTTAACAAGCACAGCAGGCTGGGCTCGGTGGCTCAGCCTGTAATCCCAGCACTTTGGGAGGCCGAGGCGAGTGGATTGCCTGAGCCCCCGGGTTTGAGAACAGCCCAGACAACTTGGCAAGACCTCATTTCTACAATAAATAAAAAATAAAAAATTAGGCCGGGCTCGTGGCTCAGCCTGTAATCCCAGCACTTTGGGAGGCCGAGGCGAGTGGATTGCCTGAGCCTGCAGGTTCAAGACCCGCCTGGGCAACTTGGCGAGACCTCATCTCTACAATAAATAAAAAATTAGCCAGGTGTAGTAGCGCGTGCCTGTAGTTCCAGCTACTTGGAAGGCTGAGGCGGAAGGATCGCCGGAGCCCAGCAGGTCGAGGCTGCGGTGGCCAGGAGTGGCCATTGCACTCCAGTCTGTGTGACAGAGTGAGACTCCAACTCAAAATAAATAAATAAATTAAAAAAAAAAAATTAGCTGGGCATGGTAGTGCGTACACCTGTAGTTCTGGCTACTTGGAAGGCTGAGATAGGAGGCTCGCTGGAGCCCAGCAGGTTGACGCTGGGGTGGCCATGAGTGTGCCACTGCATTTCAGTCTGGGCAATGGAGTAAGACTCCAAATCAAAAAAAGAAAGAAAAGAAAAAAAAAACAAGCACAGCAGCAACAACGGTGGGCTGGGTGTGAGGGTTGGGCAGGGAGAAGCAAATACCGTTTGGCCCCCCAACACCTTTCCCTCACTGGGGTGCTTCCTGCTTCCCCAAGCAGTGGGACCCCACCCCACGGGGAAGAAATCTCTGGGCTTCTTCACTTCGAACCCCACCCCCACTGTCATAAAGGATGGTTTGCTTTACAGTTCTGCAAACAACAGTTCTGCAGTGGGATCTACATGGGAATATAAAGACTGAGGGGCGGAGAGGGCCAAAGAACAGACCCCAGTAGGATCTCTGATAGAGAACTCCAAGGCCCACAGCCCAGACAGTCCTTCAACAGATAAGGAAACTAAAAACCCTGGAGGAAAGTGTCATTCTCAAGGCCACCAAACCAGCCAGTGTCCCTGCTGGGATGGGAAACCTGTATCACACATCCATGCTCTGTCCTTGGCCTCTCTGTGACTGTGTGCTAACAGAGGAAGGGATGAAAGGGAGCCGGTGACTCATTCCCTTTCTCGGTATTCACTACTGGTGATTGGTAGTTGAGGGTCAGCAGAACACAGAGTGAAGACATAATAGTAAATTAACATGTTTTTTCCAAGAACCCTTGCACAATAATCACTAACATTTGTAAAGTACTTTAGAATGCATCAGGCACCTTTACATATAAGTTTTCTTTTTAAAAAAAAATTTTTTTTTTGAGTTGGTGTCTCACTCTGTCACCCAGACCGGAGTTCAGTGACCGCTCCCGGCCACCGCAGCCTCGACCTGCTGGGCTCCGGTGATCCTTCCGCCTCAGCCTTCCGAGTAGCCGGAACTACAGGCGCACGCTACCATGCCCGGCTGATTTTTTGATTTATTGTAGAGATGAGGTCTCGCCAAGTTGCCCAGGCAGGTCTCGACCTCAGGCAATCCACTCACCTCAGCCTCCCAAGGTGCGGGATTACAGTCTGAGCCACCGAGCCCGGCATAAAAAAATTTTTATTTTATTTTTAAAATGGGTACAAATGAGGGTTAGGTACATACATGAGGGTTAGGTACACACATCATCATACGAGTAAGGTTACATACAAGTTTTCGTTTAATTTCCCGAAAACTTGTATGTAACCTTACAAGAGGGGATTATTACTGACCCATTTTTACAAATGAAACAGGTTCAGAGAGTTTAATTATTTACCCTTGGTCAGATATCCAGGAAGTGGCACGATTAGGACTCTAACTAGACCAACCACAGGGTCCAGAGGGGTGGAAACAGTATCTGTCTCATTCATCATGACACCTCATTTTTTTTTTTTTTTTTTTAGTTGGAGTCTCATTGTCAACCAGGCTGAAGTGCAGTGGCATGCTCATGATTACCATAGCCTCGACCTGCTGGGCTCAGGTGATCCTTCCCCTCAACCTTCCAAGTAGCTGAAGCTACAGGTGCATGCCACCATGACCTGCTAATTTTTTTTTATTTATTGTAGAGATGAGGTCTCCCCAAGTTGCCCAGGCTGGTCTCGAACCCATGGACTCAGGCAATCCTCTCACCTTGGCTTCCCAAAGTGCTGGGGTTACAGGCTTGAGTCATTGCACTCGGCCTTCAGATTCTTTAAGCTACTCTTTATAAATCTTTTTAATTTTTTCTGAGTCAGAATCTCATTTTGTCACCCAGGCATGATCATAGTCCACTGTAGCCTCAAACTCCTGTGTTCAAGCAATACTCCTGCCTCAGCCTCTCGAGTGGCTGGGATCAGGTGTGTGCCACCATGCCCAGCTAGTTTTTTTATTTCTTGTAGAGACAGGAGTTTCAGGGTGTTGCCCAGACTGGTCTCAAACTCTGGGGCTCAGCAATCCTTCTTGGCCTTCCAAAGTGTTGGGATTACAGGCATGAGCCGCCACACCTGGTCTTCATAAACCTTTTTAACTAGGGCCCTGCCTCTGTAGGGACCACTTTTATAGCCCTCAATTAAAGAGATATGTTTGTTTGTTTGTTTGTTTTGAGTTGGAGTCTCACTCTGTTGCCCAGGCTAGAGTGCAGTGGCACACCCATGACCACCGCAGCCACGACCTGCTGGGCTCGGGTGATCCTTCCACCTCAGCCTTCCAAGTAGCCGGAATTTACAGGCATGTGCTACCACGCCCGGCTGATTTTTTGATTTATTGTAGAGATGAGGTCTCGCTGCACAGGCAGGTCTCGAACTCGCGGGCACAGGCGATCCACTCACCTCAGCCTCCCAAAGGCGCAGGATTACAGGCTGAGCCACCGAGCCTGGCTGAAACCAACTTTCAATGCTTTTTCCAGGATCTGGGCTACAGGCCTGGACAACAAGGACATGAGGAAAGGCGGCATTCCTCGCCCTGCCTTGGAAAGAACTTGTGTGTGTTCTTCTGTGCCTGTGTGCATGCTGTGCAAGCAGAGATACCCCAGATGGCTAAGATGGTTAGCCTCTTCTGGGGCCAGGAAAGCAGTTGGACGGCAGGGGACGCTGCAGAGCCACAGATCTTACCTGCACTCTGCTCTGGGGCCAGAGCTTCCCAGAGAGCTAAGGATCTTCGATAGTCTTGTTAGGCCTCAGGTGTTCATGATCCTATAAAAATTTCTCTTCTTTTCTCCAGGAACCTTAATGACACCTGAGAGGCACCCAGGGAGGGTAAAGAATGAAATAATGAAATATATGGAATCAGCTGGTTTTGAATTTCACTGCCTTTTTTTTTTTTTTTTTTTTGAGTTGGAGTCTCACTCTGTCGCCCAGACTAATTTTTTATTTAATGTAGAGACGAGGTCTTGTCAAGTTGCCCAGGCAGGTCTTGAACCCATGGGCTCAGGCAATCCACTCGCCTTGGCCTCCCAAAGTGCTGGGATTACAGGCTGAGCCACTGAGCCTAACCATGCATTTTTTTTTTTTTTAAGTGACAAGGTCTCACTCTGTCTCCCAGGCTGGAGTGCAGTAGTACAATCATGGCTCACTGTAGCTGCAACTTTCTGGGCTCAAGCGGTCCTCCTGACTCGGCCTCCCAAGTAGCTGGGACTACAGGCTTATGCCACCACACCAGGCTAGTTTTTTTTATTTTTTGTAGAGACGAGGTCTCACTATGTTGGCTAGGCTGGTTTTGAACTCCTCCTGCCTCAGCCTCCCTAAGTGTTGGGATTACAGGCATGAGCCACCATGCCCGGTCTGTTTACTGCATCTTTTTGAACTGTGTGACCTTGGTTAACTAACTCACTGAGCTTCAGTTTGCTTTTTCTTTTTTCTTTTTTTTGGGTTGGAGTCTCACTCTGTCACCCAGACTGGAGTGCAGTGGCCGTTCCTGGTCACCGCAGCCTCGACCTGCTGGGCTCCAGCGATCCTTCCGCCTCAGCCTTCCAAGTAGCTGGAACTACAAGTGCGCGCTACCACGGCCAGCTGATTTTTGATTTATTGTAGAGATGAGGTCTCGCCAAGTTGTCCAGGTGGGTCTCGAACCCGTGGGCTCAGGCAATCCACTCACCTTGGCCTCCCAAAGAGCTGGGATTACAGGCTGAGCCCCCGAGCCTGGCTCAGTTTTTTTTTTTTTTTCCTTATGCAAGGAAGGATATGAATTCTGTTGTGCAGAATCAGAGATGAATTTGTATTAGGAGCTTCTTACAGGGCTCAAAGTTGAACAGTCATTCCAGGCACCGTCCTTGGCACCAGAGATTCCATGAGGGACCACAAGCAAACATAGCCCCTGCCCTCAAGAATTTAAGTTCTTTCAGGAGGAAAGACAGATGTGAGTCAACCCTGCAGATATACATAAATTACACATGTGCAATGAAGTACAACAAAGGAGTGGTTTCAGAGCTCAGTGAAGAGAAAGTGCCCAGGTAGAGAGATTTCCCAAAGGTTTTGAGGAGCGAGTCAACTAAGCAAAAAGAGGAAAAAGTCTTCTAAGGAAAGGGAACCGCTTATGCAATGCCCATTATGTGTGGGAGCCTGATGCAAGGCTCCTGGGAAGACAGGACAGAGAATGAGGTAGAATGGTGGAAGATATGGCCAGAAGCAGGGGTCGGATTGCACGCGGCCTCCCTAGGGAGTTTTGTCTTTTTTTTTTTTTGAGTTGGAGTTTCACTCTGTTGCCAAGGCTGGAGCGCAGTGGCACACTCACAGCTACCGCAGCCTTGATCTGCTGGGTTCTGGCGATCCTTCCACATCACCCTTCCAAGTAGCTGGAACTATAGGTGCGTGCCTCCATGCCCAGCTAATTTTTTGGGATTCATTGTGGAGATGAGGTCTTGCCAAGTTGCCCAGACTGGTCTCAAACCCCTAGGCTCAGGCCATCCTCTTGCCTCCACCTCCCAAAGTGCTAGGATTACAGGTGTGAGCCACCATGCCCATCCAGAATGGAGTTTTGTCTTTAACCTAAGAACAATGGGAAACCAGGAACGAGTATAGTCATAGGCTTTGAACAAATTTCCAGGTCCCTCTGGCTGCAGGACTCAATCCTCCACCCTCTCCCCCTCGACACACCCTCAGGTACTGAAGTCTCTGAGTTCTCAGGGCTAATCCTCCCTCCTTACCCTTCGCATTCCTCAGTATCTCCCACAGGGACTATTGCATTCAGTTCCTAACTGGTGTCCCTGCCTCCAGTCCCTCCTCCTCTCCACACAGCAAACTTAGCCTTTTTCCCCTCCTTTTTTAATTCTCAGTAAGAGACTCACTCTGTCACCCAGGCAGGAGTGCAGTGGCACGCTCACGGCCACCAAAGCCTCGGCCTGCTGGGCTCAGACGATCCTTCCCCCTCAGCCTTCCAAGTAGCTGGAACTACAGGTGTGCGCCACCACGTCCGGCTAATTTTTTTTTTTTTTTTTG